GGAAGTGAAAAAGACCGTATAATTTACAGTGAATAACCGTAAATTGACATTCCCAGAATTCCCTGCGTTACATTTCAAATTTGATGTTTTTTTGTTGAAATAACTATGTTTCTTCTTAGTTTTTTCTTATCAGTTTTGTATATTAGCGTTGTGTGTTACACCTAATGTTGTTAAATGAATGTTTATTGCATTATTTCAGTTTCATGTGTGTTACCATGATGGTGTTTGGTGTTTGTGTGAATGACACTGTGCACCTTCTATACATGTTATTATTTAAAAGCTGCTTGTGATGGGCTTTGGTTCATCATGTGACTTTCTCATCAGTGAGATCTTCTTTATCAGTGTATTACAAAGGTACAAAACAGATTTCAGTACTTCAATAGGTTGGTATATTAACATTATATCAGTTAATGAAATTACGAATGAAATTACGGTATTTAAGTTAAAACCGTAAAACCTAAAACGTTGCTACCGTATTTTTTAAATTTTACGGAATTTTTTTTACAGTGTAGGTTTACGGCTTTTGGGGGGGATTCTGTTTTTTTTCCGTTTTAATTTTTCCGGACTCCTTTTTAATGGTTAAATTAAATTTTATTAATCAAAAAGCACGTCTAATTAATTAAAATCATGAAACTTAAACTGTTTAACATCAAATTATTCAAAGTTTAACAAAAATTACATGTTTAGGGCCCAAAAATATATTTTTTTTCCAACCTTATGTTTTATTGTTACCAAATTCTGTGTTTTAGCATGTCTAATTATTAGAAAGCATAAAAGCAAGTTTCATTTATTCTTACAATCGCCTTATGATTTTTTTTCCTCAGAAATTCTGTGTTGTGTATTTACATTTTTAAGGCATAAAACATTCATTTAATTTATCTTTTAATTCATGAAAATTAAACAAATTGTATTTTTTGGAAAATAAAGGGGAATTAATATTACAATTAAAACATTGAAGAAATATTGTATGATTATTCCTTAAAAATAAGGTTTTAATAATTTTAGTAGTAGTAGTAGCTTATTACGTACATTCTACTGAACAATAGTAATGCAATGTCTTCAAGTTAAACCAAACCTTTATTTTGACGGGTTGCCGTGAATACCTTTACATTCCTGTGTTTATATGATATGAGGATAGTTTTACTCAAATGAAACGGTAAAATGCTCATGAAGTGACCCTCAGAGCAGTTCTGGAGATGTTGTTCATGTATTTGTGTCCTCATTCAGTGAGACGGCAGACGCTAATATCACCGGAAGCGTCACGTGCGCTTCAGTACGAGTAGTAAACAAAACCGCACGTCTGCACCATTCATTAACACAGAGACACGCAGAATTCATATTTAAAAAGTCGTTTTGCGGCTTAATATTTACAAATACTAGTGGGAGTGTGTTCACGTGTGTGTGCTCACATGTGCGTTGTGTGTGTGTGCGCGTGTGTGCGCGTGTGTGCGCGCGTGTGCACGCGTGTGCGTGCGTGTGTGTGTGTGTGTGTGTGTGTGTGTGTGTGTGTGTGCGCGCGCATTGGGGCGGAACTCCGCTGTGCGCGATAACAGAGAGCGCGACCATAACGTAGAGACAGAAATGACATGCCGTCGTGTAAATAAGATAAATTACATAAGGCTATTTAGTTTGTTTCATAAAAGAACAAGGTATAGTAGACCTGTTCTATAGGAAAGGTAACTTTAAATGACTTCTGTTGTGATCTGGCGCTATAGAGAAAATAAAATTAACTTGACCTTCAGGGGGGGCCGTTAGGGGGGCGCAAAACGACTATTTAAATATATAGTAGTATCTTAATAATACTAAAATAACCCTGGTGCATTTTTAGATGAAAAAAAACAACAACAAAATGAAACGAACAACAAAAAATTATTTGCATTATAATTTGTTTATAAGAAGGGGATGCTTCCTCCAAACTGAGGTTCAGTCAGATTTTGTTCATTTCTGGAGACAAATTAAGAGTAAACACACCCACAATGACTGTTAAAGTGAATTGTGTTAGTTCTGGCCTGCTATATTAAATCAAATCATCCTGTGACAAGCCACTTTTTCCACCAATATCCTTCCTTTGTTCAAACATGATGACTTCCAATGTGACCCGCTGCGTTTTATTAGGCTCACGGCCCAGATAGCAGTTCCTGAATGTGATTTCTTTAACCAGAGCTCGTGAAGTTGACAAAGCATTGCTTTTTTTGAATAGCTTGGCTTTCAAACACTCTCACCTGTTGAAAGTCATCCAGGTAAGGGCCGGTCTTTCCTGAAGTGATGTTATAGCTGTAGCAGTGAACTGCTGTCGAGCACATAACAGGTAGTTAGCATGTTACAGATGCGGTTCTTCTGTTTGTTGTGGCATCTCACTCCAGAGACCTGCTCCAGAGAAAGCACTCAGACAAACACTGTTTTGCAGCTTACTGTAGCTGAACAGGTTCTGGAAGACAGTGGAGGAGAGCCAGTCGTGTCATATAATGTCATAATGTTCATAGCTTTGGGGGGAAAGTGAATGTAGCTAAAGAAAATCTCAGCACAGCAGTCTATTGGTGATTGGCTGCTGCTCTCTGATCCTCTGACGCTCAGATCCTGGAGAATCCAGGTCATATGCAATTGAAACAAAAAGCCCAGAGAATGATTTGTGTCGTACCTAAAAACGCCCATTAGAAGAAAAAAAAAACGCCCATTAGTTGTTGTCAAATTACTGTAATGCATGACTGAGAGGCTTTTTTAAAGCATAAAGCAACAGTAATATGATATAAATAAATTGGTTATTAATGACATTTCTTTTACTTTTTTATTTTATTTTTAAATATTTTTTTATTATTGTAGTTATTAATGTTTATTTTATTATTATTTTTTAATTGAATTGTTCATTTTATTACTTTGTTTATTTTATAATTTTTTCATGTAATTTTTTTTATTTTTATTTAATTTATTGTTTGTTTTTATTAAATTTTTTCATTTATTTTTATTTTATTATTTTTTATAATTTTTCTTTTTATTTTATCTTATTAAATTAATTTATTGTAATTTTTTATTTTAGTTTTTAATTTAGTTTTACTATTTTTATTTTATTTTCTGATATTATTTGTATTTTGTATTTCATTTATTTATTTACTCACTATCTTTAGTTTTCATTTATTGCTACATGAATGTCGCAAGCAATGTCAGCACAACATGAGTTCACCTTTATGTTTTATATAAAGCATGAAACAACAGTAATATGATGTTTAATAAATACCCTGCTTATTAATCACGATAATAATCATAGTAAATGCATGGTGACCTCCGGGTTGTTGTGTCATTAAACAGCACGAGTGAGTTTCTCATCAGTCTGGCTCTCAGGATCGGCTGATTTGGCTTCGTTTAGCTGCTGGCTTGAAGGACTGATTGCTGCAGCTCATGATGATGATGTCACCTCACCACAGTAGAGCAGCAGACGAAATGACCTCATGAAAGTCTTGAGTCCAATTGCATGCTTGAGTGCAGAAGGAAAGTTCAGCTCACAAGTGCTTGCCGCTGCTAGAAATCAGGAAGGGGGCCAACACTTTTTCACACCACTGTACACCTAATATTCACACCCACTTCCTGTCTGAAAGCCCCTGTCTTCCTCCACTGGAACATTCTGTCCTCCTCACTGTGGTGCCTCACCAATAGAGGACGCCACACAGGATTTGACCGCTACATACGACTCAGCTCTCTGATTTATGAGATCAATATTAATAACTATTTTATTTTTTTATTTTAATTTATTTTATTTTAATTTTGTTGCATTTAATTATTTTATTTTGAAATTTTATTTAATTTTTATTGTATTATTTAATTTGAATATTATTTTATTTTTTGTTATATTCCAATTTTTTCATTTTATTATTATTATTTAGGAAGACACAAATTATGATTATCAGCAGAGAGACGCCGCAAATGAATCACAGGCTTTGAAAGAAAGGGAGTTAAAGAAGGAAATGAGTGCATTTGGGCTGGTTTCACCCTCAAGACGATCTTGTTTTTATCTGCTGCTTTGATTTCTTCTGATAATGGGCATGTTAAATGATCAAACGAGTAGGCCTATATCTGATGAAATAATTCAACATCTCACAGTCGATGTCAAGAGATTGCATCATAATATATGACAACATCATAATAGAAAGTGTCACATTTGTGTTTGCTGCAGTGCATAAATGACAGTAAATACTAAATATTAATGAGCATAGGTGGTTGTTATTATTGTGATTATTAAATCTACATGTTTTCTTCTCGTTGTCTTTGTGTTGCAGTAAGAGTCATGGCGGATCTGAGCTTGACCGATGCTCTGACCGACACAGTTCCTCAGCCTGACGTGGAGAACATGGTGGAGAGGGATTTTGTGACCACGCTGGAGGCTGAGACCTTCGACGATCAGATCGGAGAGACGGTTGACAAGGCCAACTATGTCCCACTGCTGGACAATGACGGGAAGGGTGAGTCTGATCTGTTGATGTTAACAGGTTACACAGTGAAAACATCAGGCGTGCCCAAGTTGTGTTGCATAATGCTAATCTATTACCAACAAGCTTTATTTTCATTTCTTTTCTTGTATTGCATTGCATTTTTTTTTTTATTATTTCATTGCATTTTATTTTTTATTATTTTATTGCATTGCATTGCATTTTATTTATTATTTTGTTGCTATGCATTTTTTTATTTTGACTACTTTACATGCTCTGATTCTTATAGTTTTTCTTTTGATTATTATTTTATCGCGTTGCATTTTATTTTTTAATTATACATTTATTGCATTGCATTTTATTTTTTATTATTTTATTTTATTGCATTTTAATTTTATTATTGCATTGCATTATATATTTTAATTCTAATGTATTACCTTTTTTATCTACTTATTTTATAAGAGCAGTTGTAAAGCATCTCTTTTCACAGATTGTTTTTTTTTTCGAGGTTAAGTATTTGAAAACTGATCTCTCCTGTTTCAGTCACCTGTGATATTCATTGAATATTGCTGTGTGAAATAAGCAGTTCCTCTGGTTTATATTGGCCTGTGTGAATCTTTGTGGGCGTCTGTCTGATTGATTTCCAAGAGTTTGTTTGCATTGAGCAAACTGCGTGTTTGTCAAGAATCTCCCTTTGTCTTTTGAGGATTTTCTTATTCAAACGCCTCTAATTGTTGAGTGTGTGTGTGTGTGTGTGTGTGTGTGAGCAGATCCGGGTACAGTAGTCGAGATCGGACAGCAGGAAGTCCAAGGGGCTCAAAACCCTGGTAAGAGATGCCTTAGATTTAGTTTCGGGTGCCGCTCCATTATTTGAGTCATACCTTGGTTTGCTTGTTTTCTTTCATGCTCCTTTTCAGTTCAGATCATTTGTTTTGGTTGGACGGGAAGCCACTCGTCTCAGTGGGCGTAGAGGAGACTAAAACCTTCACTTAGCAAGGTTTTAGTTTACTTTGTAATTGCATGTTTATCCCGTTAGCAGTGCATTAAATATCACCTTTTTACTGTTCTCCTCTCCTCTGTCACATGATGTCTGTCTGCGGGATTTGACTTTGCCAGACTTTTTGTGATTATTTTTGTTTCCTGTTTGTTGATGCTCACGAGTTAAAATTGCGATGGTGCATAGAGACTCAAATGGAGTCGATATTGTGAAATAGGTCCAATATGTTCATTAATGCACGTCATACATTAATGTATCAATATACCTAGATATCTGTTGCTCTTGTTTACATACACTGATTTTGGTCAGTCCAAATGAATCCAACTGTAGTTTTTACCTTGTTTCAGATTTTCATTTTTTAGCACAAATATTCATTCTCCACTGCTGACCAGTTCATAAGACGTAAATAAACTTAAGCAACACGACACTACACATGTGCACAAGGTCATTTGGATTCTGACTGAGAAAGTAGTCTGATTTTAAAGGCATTGTTATTTTAATATAAGTGAGATACTTTTATAGTTTCTATTAATATTTTAAATAAAATGATAACTCGATACTCAACCCTGGCTGTTTTTAACACAAAAATTGGGTAAAATATGTATTTTTTTAATAACATTATACTCAAAACACATAAAAACACATGGCATTCAAAAATTGTATAAAATATTGGGTCTGATTTTAATGTTTAAATGGTTAATATTTTCCTTTTTAATGGATTTGTAAGGCAGTGTTATTTTAGTGTAATTGAGATACTATTATATTTTTTATCAGTATTTGTAATTTATTATTTTAATAAATTATTTTAATATTTTTATTTTTAAGTTTTAGTAATTTTGTGTGGTGTTTCTGTCATTTTATTTATTTAATTTTAATGTCTATATACCTTTTATTTTGGGTATTTTAGTGCATCAAATTAAACTGAAGTAAAATTTAAAAAAAAAAGTTGCCTTGGCAACTATCTAGAAAAAAATTAAGTTGTTTCTATTTTATTTTATTTTTATTTCAAGTAATGTTTTAGTTTCCATTAATGATATTAATTATAACCCAGCTTTAAGGTCTTCACCACCCCTTTGGAATGAGGTGTTTATGTTACTATAGTATATAATACTACGATAGTATTATATTACTATCCATTACTTTCTATTTCTTCGCCATGACAGTGCATGTCGTCTCCCGAGTCTCAATTTCAGCCCAAAGCGTCTTGTGTTTTTTTGCTCTTGTAGGTTCAGTGTTTGTCTTAATTGTCTCTCTTCTCACACACTCATATGACAGTAATAATTTACTCTCAGCTCTCAGCACACAAGAGCAAAATGCTTCAGACGGGGCGAGTCAGATGGTCATCGCATGCTGATGCACAAAAATGCTTCGTCTGGAAGCTGGAGTCACTGCAGCTCACAAAATGACCATCTAATATGTGATTTCACTGTACTGCTTTATGATGGAAAAAGACAAAAATAGCATGCCTCAAGTGCATTATTGATTTTATAAAGCATTTAATGCATAATGAAAATAAGAAGTTCACAAATGTTCTTGAAAGCAGCACTCAGGTTTGCTTTATTAAAGCATAATGTGTTTTGATGAGCGTCCTTCAGATGGCGCTGTTGTGCTGGAATGATCTCCTGCATGAGCTCTGCATTTCCATGAATCATGATTATGGAAAGTTTCTCTTTGCTGTTCTTGCAGGAAGTAAGTAGGGCAGAGAACATAGATCTGTGAGCTGCAGCCGACGCAGATGTCCAGGGAACAGAGCCATTTTTAAGCATGTCTTCATTTATTTATTTGCATATTTGTGGGTGGGGCCGTGCATGCTGCATGCGACGAGGCTGATGTGACAGAATGATTGACAGGTGTGAAGTACTAACCAGCGCTGTTGTTCTCTTCCTGTCTGCTGTGTGTTTCTGCCCTGCGTCGTGTCTGTTTCCGCCCCGTGTCTCGCTTCAGACGACTAGATCTTCTGCTCGTGGCTGCGTCTCACATGCCTCTTCTCCTCCTCTCACTCACGCCGCTGAACCTCCTGGAAAACCCGTTCCTGACACCACCTTCAAAAGCCTCAGCTTTATACCCTGCTCAAGGACGAGGGATGTGTTGAGAGACGGAGAAAACCCTGATTCCAAACCCTAGTGAGCTGCTGTCTGCATAGGCTGCTGCCTACTAAGGGGCCGTTCACACAGGACATGTTCAGTTTTATTAAACTATTGCGACTAGTGTTGGGTTTTGTTTCACTCTTATCATTTCTGAGTCTGCATATCAAATTAGTTTTTTATCAAATCTTGGTTCAGATTAAAATATTTACAAAAGTTAGCCTACCTTTTATTCCTGCCACATTTAGGCTATAATCACTGCTGCCAACTAAATATTGAACTAAATAACGTTTATTTAACATACAAGTGAATTCATAAATTCTTAACATTCAAGAAGCATTCAATAATTGAATTTTTTTTTTTTAAACAGCTTGAACTGTATAAATTAAATAAACATCATTCTTATTAAAGCAACAATAGGAACCAGTTCTCGATACCTAACCCTACTTGCGACACGTTTTTTATATTAAAATTGGGTAAAATATTGGGTAAAATATGCATTTTTCTGATAATGTCTTATTCAAAATGCATAAAAACATGGAACACCAAAGTTTCGTAAAATATTGGATAAAATATGCATTTTATTAATAAAGTAATACAAAACACAAAACATGGCATTCAAAAACTGTATTAAAGTAAAATATGCATTTTTTCTAATTAATATGATACTCAAAACAAACACATGGGACATAAACATTGGTTAAAATATTGTTAAATATACATTTTTCTATGCATAAAACATGCATTTAATATGACACTCAAAACACGAACATGAACTGATATGGGACAGTTTTTAATTACAGGGGGTTTTTAAAAATATTTTTAATTAGAATTTTGCATGCACCTGCTATTTTATTGCAATGCATTCTGGGATTTCCTGTCCATGATGCTGCCTTACAATTCATCTTTAATAAGATCTCTTAAAAGGCATCAAAATCATGTCGCCTGACTTTATAGACCATCCATTAATTCGGGAGCACACTATGATGCCTTAAAATGCTGACTATGTAGGCAGCTCACTAGGTTTTGGAACACTGTCTGGTTGTCAGACACACTGCCCTCTCATTTAAAGACATTCTCCTCTTCCTCTTCGGCAAAGTCATCGCAGGCACACTGCATCAACGGCCACGGGATGCTCCAAACACGCCACCGGAGGATTCCCTCTGTGGGCTCAGGGGAAACGGGATCTTTTGAGGGAACAGTAGCTCAGAGTGAGAGATGATATATCTGGTGATGACAGACCGCGGTCACACACGCCTCGAGATCCACACACACACACACACGCTCGCTCGATCTGTTTACTGTCTTACTGTCAGGCCTTTCTTCTTTCTCATACAAACACATTTCACCAATTAAAGTCAACATGAAATGGTAATTAAATGACTTTGCACATTTCTCATTGTGAATGATTTATTGGAGCACATTATTTTTTCTCTCAATTCCTCATTTGTTTAGTCATTGTTTTAGGCTGCTAAAGTGTCAGTAAATTAATGTTAGTTAATGTGATAAATGTTCTAGCAATAATATCAAATAGAGAGCAGATCTAAAAAAAGAGTTTTTGTTACTAGGATAAAATAATATTGAAATTATTATAATTTTTTTCAGTTAATGTATATTTTATAAAACATTAATTTAAATGAAATATTTAAAAAGTATATATTTTAAATATTGTTTTATTTTATTATTTCAGCCAGTTGCTAGATTTCATATTTTAATTTGGTTTAATCGTATCTACTAAAATAACTACATTTCAAATTAATATATATCAACAAAAATGTAAAAGAAAAAAATGGGAAATGAAAAAAAAAAACTTAACTGAAAATATTAATAAAAACAAAACAATAATAGTTAAATAACACTGGCTGACTCTGAATATCCTGTTTCACCTTGTAGGAGTAAAATGGCTTGTGAATGTAGTTTCATGTTGACTTTAAGTCTGTTCTTGTCTTAATATCCTAGAGAAACTTTATTACTAGTGATAATCACTTGATTACCTGTAAACATGCACCATCATCAGTATGTGGTATTAGTTCTGATGCACACAGCTTTGTTTATTGTCATACAGCAGTCGTCCAAAGATACGTGTTGTGTTTTCATTACTGCATTTGATTGCATCGTGCACACAAACATACGCATAAGTACACTTCCCCCTGTCCTCCTGTCTGGCCATGTTAAAGCTCACTTTGAGACCTCAGCTGCCAGAGTTCATCATCACACACACACACTGGCAGCCTGTCGCAGCGTTTATATAAGCACTCGTCTAAGGCCAGAAACGCAGATGCAATCGCTCGGCCAGTGCACTACAAGCGTGCATGGGTTACAAAGATGATATTAATATCTATAAAGCAGGTAGCATGATAGCTAAATATTTTCAATAAAATTAGCTATTTATTTTACACACTATTTACTCAAAATTAATTAAAAATGTCATTCAGATGTTTAAACTTAAAGTTTGTTCCATTTGTTGTGATTTGGTCAGTAGTTTATTTCAGGCCTGACGCTGCACTCAGGTGTTTTTTAAGCTGATGTGTTTCCTTTACGCAGCTCTCTTTCTTTCAGCTGTATGTTTGTTTTTAACAAGTGCATGTGTTTATAATGATTGATTGATTTGTCTGTTTTAATGAGCTTACTGAAACCTACACTAAACACTGTCTTACATGGTCTTTTATTAAAATAACTGAAAATAACATGTTTATTTCCTGCATTATATTCATAGGATGTCTCGGCTTGCAAAAGTGCATTTGTA